TTTTTTTTTTTTTTTTTTGCATTTTTCCCCTCAATTTTGAAAAAGGTCGTTAAATCAATCCAGTCGGCCTTTTTTTTAATTTCTTTTAATGATGTGGAAATTACAACGTGCACAACATGCTTAGCTGGACCAAAAATTAAAAATTAATTGAAGAAATCATTTTTTCTGTCCTCCCCTAAACCAGCAATCGCATTCCTCCTCCATTCGCTCTCCTCCGGCAGTCAAACACTAGATTACCAACTCAAAGCTAAGCAAACATCACCAGATTTAGGTTGTTGTTGTTCTCTAATACATCCAAGGAAGGATTAAAGCAACAATAGCTCTCAAGCCTAGCGAAGGCGAAATTGGATTCATCATCATCCTTTGAACCCAGGAATTCGGTTCGAACACGAACCCAGTTCATTGGGTTTATCACGAACCCAGGTGCTTGATAAATCCAGGTACTGGGTTTGAACACGAACCCAGTTCAGTGGGTTCAGCATGAACCCAGGTGCTGGGTTCGATTGGCTTTTTTTTTTTATATTTCTTATACAGTAGATGAATTGAACTTCAGATTAGAAATTGAAATCCGAAGCAAGAGTTCAACAGACTTCCTCTTGAAATTCAGAGAAGTATCACCAAAAACTCTAATGAATCCACGATCTCACACAAACTTTGAGCTTGTATTTATAGCCCAAAAAATGCTCGAAAAATGGAACCCAGCAGTTGTGTTCGATGAAACCCAGCAAGTGGGCTCGATGGAATCCAAATCTGCTAGGTTCGAAACCCAGCGCATGTTGGGTTCAACCCCAGCAGCTGTATTCGACCAGATCTACTGGGTTCCGTTCGATTTGAAGTGGAAGAAGTAGGGGGAAGAAGATGAAAGGGGATAAAACGTAAGTTTACTTTTTTTTGTTTCTTTTCGATTTATTAATCCTGTGGGCCCCATCTATTGCTGAATAAATTTTTTTTAAATAGGCAATGGATGCTGAATATTGAAAACACAACAACTACAAGAAAGAAAATAGAATAAACAGATGAGAAATTGACGCACCGTATAACGAGTTATTCTCCGACAGCAGAACACAAAGAACAATAACTTTCCTATTAAAAACATGGCTTCATCAGATATCAAAAGGTCGGTACACTCCACTTTAACAGGGCCCTGCTAACAAACTTATTGGACTTGGTCTTCGGCACACTTTCAATATATGAAAACAAATTCTACAACCTGCCAGTGAAGAGCATTGTTGGCTTAAGGTGCAAAATAGCTTGATCTTCACATAACTTGGCAATGCCCTCCTGATCAGGCAATGTCACCTTCACTGTCCGTGCAAGCCCTTCTTCTGGCGAAGGCATGACCATTATCAGCCCTTCGCCTTCGAAATTGCCTACATGGCAAGATACATGGGAAGGCTTCGCATTGCTCTCAAAAGCAGCAGAATACATTAAGGACTTATCCCCATTAACCATATGTTCCAAGCTAACACAGGTAAGTTCAGGACCATACATCCTGAAGGGTGGTGCACCCTTCTGTGATTCAAGCCAGTTCACAACTGATAAAAAATCCTCTTCCCCGAGCCCGGCCACGTGACGATGCACAAGACCTGCCACGTGGCCCAACCCGCCGAAGGAAAACATATCTTCTTCACCTAATGATAGCAGACAAAAATATAGTGCATTACCAAAATACCCATAAGGAAGTGGTTCTTTCAGCAGCCTTCTGAAGTCTATGGACACTTTAAGAGAGTATTTATGGCTATGTTCATCTTTTGGAGCCTTGAGAAGCGCAACTCGAGTCCAGAAGAGGGCGGCTAGCATATCAAATGGAGTGGCATCGGGGCACTGATCTTGAATTTCTAACAGGCATTGCCGGATTACTGAATCAGAAAACTTGAAGGTGACCGTGACCATCTCCACATTGCAACTGGTTTGTGAACCAGTTGATGATGACTTGGCTGCATGGTAAGCAGTAGTTGATGTTACACTAGTGCTTGGAACAGCTCGACCATGGAGTACGCGTGGATAGATCGGTGGATGTCTAATGGGCTGCTGGCGATGAGCTTCTGTCCATGATTTAATGATCAGCACCAGAGTGGTTATGTCTGCTTGCATATGGGGGCAGCTCAGTCCAATGGCTACTCCTCCCCCTTCAAATTCACTGACCTGCAAGAGTTTGGATTCTAACGTCAATTTTTAAGGGAAATAAATGACATTACATTTAATTGATTAAAAAAGTGTTCTGTATTCTGTCTCTGCACAAATTGCAACACACCAATTTTATTGATTAGTGGCGAAATCAGAAATAAATCAAGGGTAAGGCCTAAAGACATTTTCCTCCTAGGGAAGGACCTGATAGATTTTGCTCCCCTTTAAAAATATGTGTGATAAGGGCCTTTGACCTTTTTTTATTCCCTTTAAAACATAAACGTGAGTCTCTTCATTTTTTACCTACATTTTAGTACGTATATAATCATTGTAGACTCGGCCTAAATAACCATGGCCCAATGTGGTTCCGCCACTGAGTCTTGATTTTTAATTGGCTTCTGTGAAGTCAAAATCCGGCCTTCCTACCCTAATGATGCAACTAAGGCCTATGGAAACCGCTAAGGACGAAGGGAAAAACACCGCCTCTTTAAAATTATAAATACCAAAAAACATATATACCTGAAATAGGAAAGGCGACCAAGTACTTGGATTCTCTGGCATATCCTCCCTAACGATCAAATCTTTCTCTTCTGACCCATGAGCGGATCTCAACCATTCATCCATTGGTACCCCAACATTAGCTCTCAAAATCCGAACCCCAGCATCGTTACATCTCACTTCCCATTCACCTGCCTCACTTCGTGCCAGACGGCCAGTGACAGGGGGATATAAGGAGAGAACCTCCGACAAGGAGACCCTCCAGGGGTCCAAGTCAAAAAACCTGAAAGGTGACTTCTCGTAGTAGAAGATGAGGTGCAGAGTGTGCAGAGACATGGCAAGGTCGAGAGGGCTCAACGGGTGAGTCTTCCCTGGCTCAACTGGCCTGCTGGACACTGTCGTAAGCTTTGAGTTGATGATGACCTTCTTCACTTGGTCACTCATTGTGACTGAAAACCGGAATTTGGGTGGTGACTGGTGAGGTACTGAGGCTGTTGGCGGTGGGGAGGTGGGAACTGTGAAGGAGAAGAAGATGCATTGGATTTTATTGAGATGGCATTAATGGTGGGGTGTTGGAAGTTATTAGGTGGCTGGCGAAGAAGCCTACCATATCCCGAGTATACAAGCTGATTTTATTGAGATGGCTTAAATGGCGGGGTGTTGGAAGTTATTAGGTTGGTGGTGAGAAAGTCTGATGTATCAGCTCTACAAGTTGATGTAGTGTCTTGGTTCAATAAAAAAAAGACGTGTAATCACATTTTGAGTAAATGATAGTCAGCTCATCGCATGCAACGGAGAAATATCAACATAGTTAACATTATTTTCTCTGCTTCTCTTTCTCTTGGCATATGTTCGTTCTCAACCACCTCGATCAAAACAGAAATAGTAATATTGTTTGGGTTTTTTTTATTTTGTGTTCCTATAACACATGTTAAAAGATGTATAAATATAAAGTAACAATAACATTAAAATAAAAATTGATTTTTATTATTTTTATATAAATTAATTATAAAAAATATATTTATTTTACTCTTAAACACGTGATATAAGTTAAATAAACCCATGTTATTTCATACAGCTTGCTAAGAATTTAGGAATTCGATTTAGGTGAAAGATTCTCATGGTCCTCAACAAAAAAAAACCCAAGAGATTTTTGAGAAATTTCTGTAGCTACCGGCGTCTAGATAGTATAAACACAAACAGATTATTCATGGTATTAGATTTTTTTGGGATTTGTCTTATAAAGGCATTTTGGTTTCTCCCAACACAATCGACTCAAATAAGAACTAATCCCGCTCCTCTTCTTCTAAATCTTCTGAAGGGCCATCAAACCAACCCCCAAATCTCTCCAAGTTTCTTCACTGGGCAAGAACCCATTTGGGTTTTGAACCAAACCTCAAAATCCCGTCATAACATCTTCCTATTGCAGTCCAATTAGATATTCCCAACCTTTAAAACCTCCTTTTAGAATCTCTAGTTTAGACACATCTACCTTTTCCATAGTCTATGTTTCAAGATGTGAAGTTAAAAATTTAAAATTTTGTTAAATCTCTGGTTTAATTTGTTTGATTTGCAAAAATAATTTAATTAGTTTTCATATTAAAAAATCATTCGATAATGATTTCTCAAGCTAACTTGATTGATTTTTTGTAATGCTTGAGGACTCTAAAAGAAAGAATATCTCTGATGAATAATCCATAAATATAGTCAGTGAAGGAATAAGGTCGAAAGCAAAAATTATGAAGGAAGTGAGCCCCAGTGTCCACACCTTGTGGCTGGGTTCGAACTCTGCAAGGTACACCCCTGCCTTTGCACTGCAAGTCCCCCATCCCAAAGTTTCCTACTTTCACAAAAAATAAATAAATAATTAACTAATTTTTTTTCAAAAAAAAGAAAGAAAAGGAAAAGAAGTAGGTGGCACAAGTGGCTAATTAAAAAGAGAAAAGGATGGCTAAAAAGTTTTAATTCCTTTCAACCAGAATTTGGGCGAGTTAATACTATTAATTTAAAAGTTTTAATTTTAAATTAAATTAGAAATTTATATACTTTTATTAATAAGTACACTAACTCTTTAATATATTAAAAAAATAAATTCATTTTCTTTTTTGGGTACAATAAATAAAGTTATTCTTACCATTAGTTATGTCTTCTAATAGTAAAATTATTTGTATTTTTAACTATAAATTTAAAATTTATTTTTAATACAAATAATATTTCTTTTCTCTTCCAAAATAACTGTTATTTGTTAACTTTTTTTTTCTAAATTAAGGATTTGGGAATCATTTATGGACTTACCCTTACAAAGAGTTAAAAGATAAAATTAAACTTTTTATAATAAGATAATTAATTAAAATAAATAGATAATAATAAAATTAAACTAAAAACAACTTACTTGTGTACTTTAAAAAGAAAAAATAAAAATTAATTTGAAATAATTTAAAATAAAAAAATAACTAATTATTTTAAGATAGAAAGAATACACAATTTTTTTTTAAACAATTAGTCATAAGACAGATCGAACCCGTCTAAGGGGAAGGGGATGCACCTTTCATCATCGTGATAGTTGCCACTAAGTCCAAAAGCCAAGTGCGAAAGAATACACAATTTTAATTAAAGTGATTAATAAAATTAAAATTAATTTTTATTTTTTATAATAATTAATAAATATAAATATAATTAATATGTTCTTAGCCTATGGCCTAACGACTTATCTGGTATGGGTATTTATAAAAATTTATAAATCTCAAATTGAATTAATAAAAGTGAGATCCACTCCAAAAGAAACTAAAGTTTAATTGAAAATTGCATGAAAATGGTCAAGGGGTTGATAACTTGATAGTGAATTAGTGATACCCAAAAGGAGATGCCCACACCTTCAAATTTGCAGCCTTTGACAGTCCACGTCGGGGCTTTAGGCCATTTAAGCAATTTTGATTCTTTGTTGGTAAAACTGTTCTCCGATCCCTCATCTTTAATCAACTTGACAATTTGATCTTCATAATTCTGATTTCTGCTGTTTGGTCTCAAAAGTTTTCATTTCTTCTAATTGAGTCTTTTTCTGCACAAAAAATAAAAATTATATAAAATCAAGTAAAATTTCATGAAACTCATCCTTGTATCAAGAAGTAGGATAGTTTAGCGATGATTCTCATGTCAGATATTTGAAGGCTCCTAATGAGTTTGATTTCATTATTTTTCAACATACGCCCCGTGGAGGTAATTTTGCTATAGATTTGGGCATAGCTTGCAGGTTGGAACCACAGGGCTTTTAACTCTTTGCTGCCTAGACTAAATGCTTTCTTGGAAGGGGATATGTTGAGCATTTTTTTTAAGACGTTGATTAGTTAATTTGTTTTCTTCTCAAATTATATATATATATATATATATATATCAAAGCAAAAATTCCACATTAATATATATATATAGAGAGGCGGAGAGAATTATTTACACACAATCCTATACACCAAAATTTTAGTCGTTTATCTATCCACTTTTAATTGTTGAGATTATCATAATTTTTTTGGTGAAAAATATAATTATTTTTAATAAATGTGGATAAATCTTAACAATTAAAAGTGTAAAGATAAATTGTTGAGATTTTATATAAATGCAGTGTCTAAAATTTATATGTAAATAGATCCTTACTTATATATATAAGAGGGATGTGTTCATATACAAATTTCACACTTCATACTTATATAAAATCTTAGTCATTCATCTCTTTACTTTTAATGGTTGAAATTTATGTACATTTATTAAAAATAATTACCTTTTTCATTTAAAAAGACTTGATAAATTCCAACAATTGAAAGTGGAAAAATGAATTATTGAAATTTTGTAGAAGTATGGTGTCTAAAATTTATATGTAAATAAATCCCTGCATATATATATACACATAAGAGGGATATATTTACATATTAGTCTTACACATCACACATATATAAAATTTCAATCATTTATCTCTGTACTTTCAACTATTGAATTTTGTCATGACTTTTTAAGTGAAAAAAATAATTATATTTAATAAATATAAATAAATCTCCACTATTTAAAGTAAAAAAATAAATAATTAAATTTTATATAAATGTAATATGTAAAATTTATGTGTAAATAAATTTCTCCTGATATAACGGTAAAGGCTTCTAAATTGTAATAGCAGAGATGAAATCATTGTTGGGCACCAAGGACTACCTCCAGTTGGCCAAAATATATTTATTTTTTTTAAGTTTTTATTTTTATTGTAGTGAGGAATTTCTTTTATTTTTTATATATTTTTAAAAATTTTAAACATTTGATTTTACATTACTTGATTTTATTAGATATTTAAATTTTCAAGGATTATTGTTGAAAATTTTTCTTTGGATTTGAGGTTATATGGCAGAACGACAAGAACTGGTACATAGAATTCATGTTGGCATGATACCATTGTCAAAAAATTAGAGTCAGCATAGTATCGACAACGATGATCAATTGTTAGAAGTCGTTCGATACTAGGAAAATTACAAGGCAGGGATCCGCCATCCACAATGGAGTCTCTTAGGTAGTATAATGATATGAGTATGATAATGTAGTTTTTAAAAAATAAATTTGATATAAGTTGGAAGTGCCTTTTCTCGAGGTAAGTAGATTATAAATTAGTTAGATTTAATATAATTTTTAAATATCAAAAATTTTAATTAAAAAAATATTGTTGATATAATTGGTTGAAGAATCTCTTACGAAATCTTAACATGGGAGAAAAGAGTCTTTTAAAAATGAGAAACAAAATAATATAGATCGACGAGAATAATGTGCCATCTGGGAAACTCTTTATTGAAGAAGCTCCAAGAAATAATGTCTTAAAATTACTGCATTTTAAAGAGAGGATTAAATAATACTCCCACTTGATAGATTTTCGTAGTATTTCACGTAAAATTAATAAAACTCTTTCAACTTTTATTTTGTTTTTGTTTTTAGTATTTTTCCCATCTTCAAAAATGATCCCTTTGTTAAAATAAAGTTATGCCCACACAAATTGTTCAGATTAGCTTTTGAAATTTACTACTAACAAAAGATATATATATATATATATATATATATCAAACTCCTCTCTCCCATTCGTCCCATTTGCGAGAAATTTTTCATATAACAAGAATATTACGTCAATGATATTATTCTCGTTTATTATTGTAGCAACAAATCAGTAATTATGAGTCACACTTTTAATTAAACAGATTAATTTAGTGCAAGTGTAACTCACATTTGTTGATTTCTCTCTACATTAACAAACAAAAATACTGTTAACATGATATTTTATTATCTGCAAATTAAAACATTTTCATATTTGCAAGCACTCCATCAAATTAAATCATACATAAATAAATTATGTAAAAGTAATAATCCAACTCAATAATTTAATCGAGTAAAAAAAAAAGTGAGTATTAATTTATATTATAAAATATTAAGTGAAAAAATATCTTAAAATGAAATTATTTTTATCATATTTTATTAAAAAATACTAAAATATTTTAAATTTTAAAATAAAAATAAAGTAATTTTGATTTTTTTAATAATATTTTATTAAAATAATATAATTTTAAAGTATTTTTTTATTAAATTTTTTTTGATAAATCTCCACTATTCAAAGTAAAAAAATAAATAATTAAATTTTATATAAATGTAATAT